ATTGCTGCGGTGGGCCACCCCAGTCCTCCTCTCCTGCTCCTCCTGCGCCGCCTCCTCCCCCTTGTCCTCCTCCTCCTCCTCCTCCTCCTCCTCCTCCTCCTCCTCCTCTTCCCGCTCCTCCTCCTCCTCCTCCTCCTTCCTCCTCCTCTCCGCCTCCTCCTCCTCCTCCTCCTCCTCTCCTCCTCCTTCTCCTCCCCCTCCTCCTCCTCCTCCTCCTCCTCCTCCTCCTCCTCCTCCTCCTCCTCGCCCTCCTTCTCCGCGCGCAGGCGGAGGGCCTGAACTACCTCGTCATAGCAGCGGAGGAGGGGAGGGGACAGGCGAGGCTCCGCCGCCGCCTCGAGGCCGCCGAGCTCGCCCAGGGATCTCAGATTGTGCGGGAGTTTCTTGACGCTCTTTGGTGTGGTCACAGGTGGTGACTGACTCCCTCCGAATATCGGAGGATGTCGAAGGGTGGGGGATGGGAGATGCAAGGAGGCGGCGGAGGAGTGAGGGTTCGCGGAGGAGGGAGAGGGACGAGGAGGATGGGGTGTGGAGAGCAGCAGCAGCACGAGCAAGATGATGTGGGGATGGTGGGTAAGGACCATGAGGAGAAGGAGGGTAAACAGGATAATCGGATTGGGCGACGATGAGGAGCATCATAATGAGAAGGGACTGTATGAGGAGGAAGGCGAAGGGGAGGAGGAGGAGGAGGAGGAGGATGAGGAGGAGGCGAGGCGGACGGATGATATGTTTGAGCAGTAGGAATGCATATGCAGGAGGAGTGCGGAGGACAAGGAGGAGAAGGAGGAGCAGCAGGAGGCGGAGGAAGAAGAGTACAAACCCGAGGGGTGCAGGGGATGCGGCGCTGGACGGCGGCACGTTTTCATTGGGGCGGGTCGGGGCCCTTCTGGCTGGAAGGTCCTTGCGTGCGACCTTGGAAAGAGTCGACATCGACTCGTGGACTCGGGGCATCACCCGGTCGAGTGAGGGATGAGCCGCAACCTGCTTACTGCGCACCAGGAGCACAGAGAACCAGTGGCTGAACCAGCGCCTTTGGAAAGACGTCCCAAGTGGCGTTGTGACCAGTGCGCATCAAGAACGGTCGACCTGGAGTCGGGACACACGTGCCTCTGCACATGCTTCCGGCCCACTCGTCCCCCGAGACGTGGCGCCCGGCTCCGGCCTCCGTCAGAATCTGGCCGTGCCAACTGCCGAGCGCCGCCTGGGCGCCCTGCAGTGTGCTCCCTCTCCGACCTGGGGCTGGCAAGCCCGCTGGAAACTGGGGGAGGCGCACGAGGCCGCCAGCACCACGCTTGGGGTGCTGCACCCGGCGCGGCTCCCTCCCCTGATGGGCCAGCTTTCCACCACCGCTACCAGATGTAGGAGAGGGAGGAGAGGGAGGAGGAGGAGGAGGAGGAGGAGGAGGAGGAGGAGGAGGAGGTCGAGGACCTCATCCTCCCTGCCCCCCCTTCCTAACATCTGATGGCGGTGGCGGGAAATTTGCCCATCATCCTCTGCCTCCCTCCGCGGCCGTTTTTCGTCTCTTGCGTTGGTGGTGGTGCGCGATGAGCTCTGCCGCGCCTGGGTTGTTGCCATCCGGCGCTGCGTGCCCTCGCGTCGAAGGAGCTCGTTTCGACTGCTCTGGCTCGCTTCGATGCGGGTTCGCTGGGTTTCGATCCCGATTGGATCCACCTTCGATCGGGGAACGAACAATGACATAAACATAGCAATTCGGAGGCCCGCGCGGATTTCTCGGATCCGCGCTGGACCGCCCTGGCGGCGCCTCCGGCGCCGCCCCTGGCGCGCTTCGCGCGCCAGGGAGAGGGGTCCAGCGCCGATCCGGTAGATCCGCGCGGACCTCCGAGTTTTCATGTCTATGTCCTTCTTCGTTCCCCTATTCGAGCTCCGATTCGGATTCCGATGTCCCATTCTGGACCTTGCTAGCCTGCCGACGTCCGCCGATTCGACTTCTCCCAGCTTGGCCGCCGACTTCCGCCGATCCGATAAATATTTTGTATTGACTGCCGATCTGACTGATCGATTCGATCCTGGGCTCTCCCTGCGTCGCCGCTGAAAGTACCATCGGCTGCGCCCGGGAGTGACCCTTTCGCCGGAGTGTGGCCTGAGGAGTGCGGGCCCACAGGGGTCCTCCCGGAATTGGCCTGCGCGCGTGGATGTGGCCCACCCTGCAGCCCCTAAAGTCTGGGCGCTGAAGAAGGAACCCTTCTCGCTGGCGAGGGGCTCGGTGTTCCTTGATTGTTCTACAGTTCGCGTGGGGGTTCCATGGGAAATCGAAGTTCAACTTATGGGAAAAAGGGGCCTCGTTCCTTATTTAGGGCTCCTTAGGTCAACGCCCCGAGTGTGAAGCCGCGCACCAGGGTCGCTCCTGCCTGGGGCTGCTCCTGCGCGCAGCCGATCACCTCTTAGGGAGCTCAGTTGCCCTGCTGCGCTCGTTTCGCAACGCAGCACGTGCCCTGTTCAAAACGTGCGTGCTAAAACGTTGCGGGTTGGCCCCACGTGTCGGCCCACGTTTGGGCGCACGCGTCTCGCTACACGCACGGTTCCAATCTACGCTTTGAGCTCCGAGTCAGCACGCCACGGGTTGCGTGTTGCGCATCGGGGCGGCCACGTTGGGGAGGCTCGGGGAGGCAGCACCCGCGGCTAGGAGTCGAGCGCGTGCGGGCAGCAGGCTCGGCCGCTGCAGCTGCCAGAGTGCTGGCACGCCACTCTTCGGCGCTCTGGGCTCCTGCTCCTCTTCAATCCTCCTGTTCCTCCTCCTCCTCCTCCTCCTCCTCCTCCTCCTCCTCATCCTCCTCCTCGGCGTTCTGGGCCAGGCCTGCGGTCGAGAACTTTTGGATCGCATGTCGCTCCGCCAGTTCTGGCCCACCGCGCCTCGGAGCGACATGCTATCCGCTTCCCGGTCCCCAGCCGTCAACTTCCCGAGCCTTTTTCCGAGCCTCCCGCCCCGCGGAGCGGAGCGACACGCTGTCCGCGTGTAAGGCATGGCGTGTCGCCGCGGTGACAGGCTGAGCAGACGTCTCCAACTTTGGCACAGTTGCAGGGCGGTGTGGTGCGCCCCAGGAAGGAGGGCCAAAGGCGAAACGGCCATCGCCACGCACCACTGGGACTTGGGCTGCCCAGCAGCCCTGAGCCTTTCCCACGCAGCCCTTCCACGCTCGACTTCTTCCTTGGGCGCGTTTGCTCAAGAGCTTTTCGCCTACAGGGGGTTCTTCTGAGAAGGCTGGCTCTTCTGCCCTCTAGGAAACGGATGGGGGTATGGGGCGGAAGTGAGGAGGAAGGGGGAGGAGGAGGAGGAGGAGGAGGAGGAGGAGGAGGAGGAGGAGGAGGAGGAGTGCCAAGTGCGTAGCCCCCATTTCTTCACCTTTTGGGGGGGTCCTTTTGCTTATCCTCTTCTGCACAGTGCCCCGATGTGCTCATGTGCACTGCCGTCAAAAATGGAGGGGGGGGGGAGGCGGCGGCGGCAGCTCGTGCACGGGAACGGCGAGGAAGGAGGGAGGAAAGAAGATGCAGTTGCTCGGGCGGGTGGCACTTGGGCATGACCCAAATGGGGGGTGACTGAAAAAGCCCCGAAGGGGCCCTATGGGACCCCTTTTGGGCCTCTGCTGAATCCAAAAGGAAGCCTACAGGGCCCCTGCATAGCCCTGTTCTTCACCCCCTAATTTGGGTCACCCCCCATTGCCACCCGCCCGAGTTGCACTTGAACGGTGAGGAATCGGGGAAGCGTTAAACTCGAGTATGCCGGACCTCGGGTTTGCGGCTGACGCTTGCTGACGAGCGCGTGCTGGATTGTTGACGGTCCAGTCTTGGTTTGGATGTTTACAGCGAGATTTCGCGTCGAAGTTCAGGTGGCCATGTCAGGCCAACCCGAGTCCCTGGAACCCAAGTCTGACGTCTCCCCGAAGAAAGGTGCCCCTGGGGCAGCGGCACCTGAAACGGCGAAAGGTGAAGGAGTGGGAGGTGGGAGGAGGGAGGAGAAATGAAGAGGAGGATGTGGAGGGAGGAGGAGGAGGGAGAGGGAGGAGGAGAATGAGGGAGGGAGGAGGAGAAAGGAGAGGGAGGAGGAGGAGAGGGAGGAGGACGGGAGGAGGGGAGGGAGAAGAAGGAGGGAAAGAGGGAAGAGGAGGAGGGAGGAGGCATGAAGAAGAGGATGGGGTGGCAGGAGTACAGTACGGTCGGGAAGTTTTGGGTAGCGTGTCGCGCCGCTTCTGGCCCACCGCGCCTCAGCGTGACACGCTATCTGCTTCCCAGTCCCCAAGCGTCAACGTCCCGACCTCCCACCCTGCGGAGCGGAGCGACACACTATCCGCTCGTAAAGGGTAGCGTGTCCCCGGGGGCGCCGCGGCGACACGCTATCCAGAAGTTCCCAGCCGCTGGGATGAGGGGGGAGGCGGAGGCGGAGGTGGAGGAGGTTTGGGAAAGGGGAAGCAGGAGGCAGGCGGGAATCAAGGCTGCAGTCGAGCGGGGTGCACGGACAGGGGGGCGCCGTCGTTGTGTTTCGAGGCGCTCCCGTGGTCGATTTGGGGGCTCCTCACATATCTCCTCCTGCTCCTCCTGCTCCTCGTCCTTCTCCTCCTCCTCCTCCCAGCCTCTCAGAGTCTCCAGTCATCCTCCCTTCGCTGTTCGTCGCCTCATCTCGTCTCCGGCTCAGGGGCGATACCACGTAAGTAAGTCGCAGGCGATGGCCTTGTTTCGACAAGGGGGCGTTGTCCATCCATTTATCTTTTGAATCTTGCCAATCTGCCAGAGACAAAGGCGTCGGGGGAAGTCCCGGGCAAGGGCTAAAGCAAACTTGCGAGGCTGTTTGGATTTTTAACCGTGCGGGTCGCACAAGCATGGAGATAACATGTAATGAACAACTCACTTACCCTTTAGCTGTGAATTGGTTGGCAATGTGAGATTCGCCATTCGTGTACTTCTATGGGAGATCATGCGATAACCTTCCATCCGTGCAGCGAAATCTGGCACTCGCATGGGACGTGCCAGCACTCCTGCCTGGTGGAATGAAGCATAGGCTCGGCTGGGTGAAGCGAGGAATGTGGGTGTGGGAGGACGGCTTGGCAGAGGCCCAGCATGGCTCCGGGCTTAGCCGGTCTTGTGTTCGACACCGTGGCCTCACCACGTGTTCCGATCGTCCTCTGCGGATTGCTGCAGCAATTGGGGAGCGCAAGTCTCCCCTGTCAGCCTCAGCGTCAATGTTGCAATGCAGGGAGAAGGAGGGGGCGAGAGGGATGATGCGGATCAGGAGGACGGGGGAGGCTCAGGGAGGAGAAGTGACAGGAGGGGGAGAGAGAGGTGGGGGCAAGCTAGGCACCCTCGATGCACAGCTGACATCCTATCCCTCCGTCCATGCTTTCCCACTGCGCTGACTTTTCTCTATCCGCGGATGCGTTTCATGGCCGACCGGGAACGTCAACATGAGACCCCATTGTGTCATGCGCCATCGGAGAAGAGAAGTTGCGTACGTGGGAGGAGGAGGTGGCGCGTGAGATGGGGGATGGGCAGGAGGACATGGAGGAGGCTATTGAGGAGAGCGTGGAGGGAGTAGGAAGAGGACGAACCGCAGCAGCAGGAACCGGAGTGGAAGGAGCGGGGGGGAGCAGGAGGACCAGGGGAAGGCGGAGGAGTCCGAGAGGCAAGGAGGGCGATTCCATTCAAAAGGGGCTCGGATCCAGAAGCGCTTGGCATCGCTCGGACGTGTGCGTTTTTTTCCTCGGCGAGGACCATCGAGGAACATCCTTGATCACTTGGCGAAAAAAACTCGCACGAAACCAAAAAAGCACAGGGAATGGACGTCCGAGCGACGGCAAGAGCGTGGCCCGCGCTTCGGCGAGGGCGCCGCGCTGCGGCGGGAGCACGGTTTTGAAGCATCGAAGCACCCGAAACAGTCGGACGGCAGACATCCGCAGGACACATCAGCGTGCGCAATCCTGTGCGTAAGAGAACGATGCGCGGGGAGAGCCGGCCATCTTCCCGACGGCGTCAGGGTGGAGGAGCAGGATGAGGAGGAGATGAGGAGGGGGAGTGGACAGGAGGAATAGGAGGAAGAAGAGGAGGAGGAGGAGGAGGAGGAGCAGGAGCAGGAGCAGGAGCAGGAGCAGGAGCAGGAGGAGGAGGAGAACAACGAGGACGCGGAGAAGGAGGAGGAGGAGGAGGAGCAGGAGGAAGACGAGGAGGAAGACGAGGAGGAGCAGGGCAGGATGAGGACGCGAGATTCATGCCTAACCGTCGTCGTGCAGCCGCTCTGGTCTGAGACATTGGCATTGCCGCTGGGGCTCCCCTCGGCCAGCCGAAGCAGGCGTACCGCATGTCCGGTGCGCGGGGGAGGGAGGAAGAGAGAGAGGAGGAGGAGGAGGAGGAGGAGGAGGAGGAGGAGGAGGAGGAGGAGGAGGAGGAGGAGGAGGAGGAGGAGCAAGGAGGAGGAGGAGGAGCATGAGCAGGAGGAGGAGGAGGAAGAGGAGGAGGAGGAGGAGGAGGAGGAGCAAGGAGGGGGGGAGGAGAGGAAGAAGAGGGGGGAGGAGGAGGGGGGGGGGAGAAGGAGGAGGAGGGGAGGGGGAGGGGGAGGAGAGGAAGAGGGTGAAGGGGGAGGAGGAGGAGGAAGAGAGGAGGAAGATGGGGAGGTGAACCTTGCCTGATGGTGGGTGGGCAAACGTGCCTGGTCTCGGCTCGCGATGGTGGAACGGCCAACGATAGCGCAATCAGCGTGGGTATACTGGGTCTGCGCGCGCGTGTAATTACATATAGCTGATTGCAGGTACGCGCTCAACCCGTGTAAGCGTGTGTATGCCTGCGTGTGGTAGGGATCGTGACGCCGAAGGGGCAGGCAGCGAGCTGGACAGTCCTAAGGTGTGGGGCTGTGCTACCTGAGCGGCCGTGGTCTTGAAGGTCAACAGGCGATACCATCACCATTTCGAATACAAGTCGAAGCGAATATGATTGACTGAAGGAGGGAGGTAACTGGTCACAGAGTAGCTCTGACATTTGCAGTGGAAGCGGTAAAACATACGATGATGAATCTGTGTATATATATATGTGCACACAAGGAGAGAGATAGTGAGAGAGAGAGAGAGAGACTAACAGAGAGGGAGAAAGATGTAGAGAGAGGGGGGGAGAGGTGCATCTACATTGAGAGATAGAGAAAGAGAGAGAGGGAGAGGGAGGGAGAGAGAAACAGAAATAGAGAGAGAGAGAGAGACAGAGACAGAGAGAGAGGGAGAGATCGAGAGACATGAGCGAACGAAACCGAAGCGGGCATCTTACATACAGGAAACGTATCAAGTGGTTTTCAGAGGTGGGATTCGGAGTAGTTCCCTTGCCCGCATTGTCCCGCCAAGGCACGCCCCGTCCGATCTGGTGATGATTGCCCTGTCTTCTCTCTTTCCCCACGCCCCCTCCCCATGCCTCTCCACCTCACCCGCCGTCTCCACCCACTGGCCCGCGTCATGGCCCAACCTTGCACGTTCCCCCCCCCCTTCCCTCCCCGACCCCGCCACCATTCTCCCCCGTCCTGCTGCCCTCTCCGCGTCCACCTCCCCCCTCGCTCTGCCTGGTCTCCTTCCCTATGCGCCCCATTCGCCCTCCCTTCCTCTGCATGCCCTGCACCGCGCTGCGTGCCAGGGAAGGCCACGGTAGGGCACGCCGGCATCGCACTGTATTATATATATATATATATGCCTCGCGCCGCACCTCTCCCAGGCACGCCAGCACCCAGAAGCCGCGGCCCCACCCACCTGGTCTGAGCCAGGCTCGGGCGACTGCTGTCAGCGGTGGTCGGGCGCTCGTTCCATTTCCTTCCGCTTTCCCTCCCCTCTACTTCCCCCTTCCCCCCCTTCGCCCCCCCTTCCTTTCGTTTCGCTTTCTCCCCTTTCCTTTCGCTTTCCCCCCCTCCCACCCTTCCCCCCTCCCCTGCTGCCCCTGCCTCCTTCGCCCCCTTCCGCCCCGCCCCCCGTCACCCCTCCCTTCCCCTTCTTCCCCCCCCCCCCCCCGCCCACCGGCCCCGCGTGCCCGTGCCCCTCCTCATAGCTGCCCGGCGGGCGCCACGAGCGGCGGGGGACCCCCCCCCTGGTGCACAGGACGTCCTTGCCGCGGCCTACTACTTCAAGATGGCCGCGGCCCAGGCACCGCCGCTTACAGCACGATCCGACATGCGATGCGATTCGCCGGCCTCGGTGCGGTCCCAGCCACCGGCCTCGGCCGGGGCCAGCCGGAGCCGGGCGCGGCGGTGCGGTTTTTCGCCCCGATGCGTGGCGATTCGCTGGCGATCCGATTCGTTTCCGACACGGTTCGATGTCGCGATTCGGTTCAGCTCGGGCCTGCCAGGGCCACACTGACTCGCAGTACCAGCTCGCCCGCATGCTGGTTCGCGGAGAGGGTCCCGCGCCGCTTGTCGCTGGTTGCTACTTTTTTTGTTTTCTCTCTCTCTCTCTCTCTCTTTCCTTTCTCTCTCCAACTCTAAATATTTCTATCCCTCCCTCTCTCTATTGTGTGTTCTCTCTCCCTCTCTCTCTCTCTTCCCAGGCGCGCGGTCACTGGCACCAAGGACTTCTCTTCTTCCTCCTCCTCTTCTCCTCACTGCTTATGAGTCTCGCGTTGCATGTATGCAGGCAAGCCAGATTCTCAAGGCCACGGTCTGACCCACCTGGTCTAAGCTATATGCATGGACACTGGCCGCAACGGTGGTCGTAGCTCATCCCTGGGCGCGGGGACACCGTGCCAGACCGAACCTATTGGGTTATTGTGGGGGCGTTCGTTGAGGAATAAGCCCAGGAGGCTTCAGACCCTGGGTGATTCCTTCTCTGACGAGGGCGGCGGTGATGTGATGTCCACGGCCAAGCCTCAGTTGGTGTTCCACTGGCTTCCAGGGCCCTGGATTAGTTTTCCAATGCGTCCTTCCCCAATGCCCTCACCGTGTCTAGAGTTGGCTCAGGGTTGTTGGGATGTTGGCACTCAGTGGGGGAGCCCCTGGTCAATACTGTGTCGCCCTCACCTTTCAGGAAATAGCGCGACGAAGGAGTCTTTCCACCAGGGCCTTCGCTCGATCCACTTGAATAGGAATGATTCGGGCATGGTTCCGTTGGCCGAGGATGGAGAGGATTAATATATGCCATCGTAGCAACGCTGAGCTCGACTGTAGCCTGTCTGCGCACGGCTCCTGCCTAGCGCAAGCGCATCCCAAAGCTTCTTTTTCATATTGGATTTCGCCTTGCAGTCGGGAACGCCAATCGGGGTCGCTCACATTAGTTCGCTCTTCTTCCTTCTCTCGGGAGGGAAAACACACAGGCACAAACAATCGTCGATTCCCCGGAAAATATTGGAACACATGGGAAGTGCGGGGGAAGAAGATCATCCCAGAAATATATGGGAAATGGGGGGGTTCTTGGCATTTGTGTCTGTTCGTTTGTGTGCCCCTGGGCACCTTTACTCTCCTCCTCGGCCGCTTCGGCGGCTGCTCGCCCTGCCTATCCCTCGGCTGCTGCCTGAGCGGATGTCCTGCAGCTGCTGCTGCTGCTCCTGCCTCCCGCAGCAGACGGTCGTCGTCCTCCGCGCGAGGGGGGGGCCGCGGAGCTGAAAGGCCCTCCCCCCCCCGAAGAGGGGCGAGGAGAGGGCAGCCGGGGCAACGGAGAGGGGGGAGGGAGGGGGGAGGGGAGCAGGAGGGGAGCAGGAGGGGCGAGGAGGGGGGAGGGAGGGGGCGAGGAGGGGGGCGAGGAGAGGCGAGGAGGGGCGAGGGAGCGGCGGGATAAAAGGGGGGAAGTGCGGCACGCAGGAGCGCAGGCACAGACACACGCGCGACGACGACGACGACGACGACGACGGCGACGACGACGACGACGACGACGACGACGAGGAGGGCAACCCGGGCAATGGAGAGGAGGGGACATTCGGGAGCCTTGAGACGGGGGTCAATCCAGACGGGGGTCAGCCAGGGCGCCAGATCCTGCAGGATCCTGCGAAGATTCCCTCTGGCTGACCCGGGTTTGGGAGCCGCTCGTGGCCGCGAGGCGGCCGCACATATTGGCTGACCCGGGTTTGCGAAGACCTGCGTTGCAGTTTTTTTTTCCTGCATTGCAGTTTTTGGTTTCCTGCTGACCCGGGTCTGGATTGACCCGGGTCAGAAGATCCCCGAGACATCGGCGGGATGGCACGGGGAGGTGCGGCACGCAGGAGCGCAGGGAGGGGGGGTCGTCAAAGGAGAAGCGTCTACATCAACATGGACTTTCCACGCTTGGCGCGGATCTCCTGGATCGGCGCGAGGCACACTTGGCGGTGCCTCCGGCGCCGCCCATGGCGCGCTCCGCGCGCCAGGGAGGGGGGTCCAGCGCGGATCCCAGCAATCGCGCTGGCCACTCCTCCCCCGCCTTGGCCCCTCCGCGTTTCCGTATTGTAGGTGGGGGTGGTCGTGGCAAACCCAGCTGTAGGAAAGCGTGGTTCTGCGCGAGTTCGGCGTCGCAAAAAACATGTTCCCAAGATCGCCGTAGACCAACATCGCCGTGAGCGTGGCCTTGAAGGGAGGCGGGGTGGGGGACGCTCCTCCCCAGCCTGGGCCCTGTCGCAAGGCCTCAAGCGGAACGATCAGAAGGCGGTCGAGTTTCTGACGCTCGCGGCGAAGAAGGGCCACGCGAAGGCTCAGGAGGGCCTCGGCCTGATGTACCGCCAGGGCCTCGGCGTCGAGCCCGATGCGGAGGCGCCCCTTCCCGTTCCGTCGTTGCTTCTCGCCGCTGGCGCCCCTCCGTCTTCTCCTCGCACTGGCGCTTCTCTCCCGTCCATCTTGCGCCACGCTTGCACGGCACTGCAGAAGGACCACATGCGAACCCCACCCCTACCCCCCACGATTTCCGAGCGAAGTGAACCCCACCCTCTCTGTGGGCCCTGGAAACGGCAGGGCCGTTTTTTCACCGTTTCCAAAAAAATGCCCCTTGAAAATGAAAAACGGCAAAAAACGGCGACTGGAAACGGCAAAAAAACGGCTCCAGGAGTGGAACCGGATCCGGAACCGGTCAAAAAACGGCGACGGAACCGGTAAAAAAACGGCGTCGGAACCGGCAAAAAAAACGGCAAAACGGAACCGGTGAAAAAACGGCCCTGTCGTTTCCAGGGCCCACTAAGCCCACCCTCCCCCTCAGAAATCGTGGGGGGGTGAGGATGGGGTTCGCATGTGGCCCCCGAACTGCGGATCGCGCTCCGGCGCGCACGTGAGCGTCCGTCCGTCCGGCCGCTGGGCGTCGTTCCTGGTAGCGCTGCCGTGCTTGTCCGTGCGTCTGCTGTTGCTCGTGCGGGGCAGTGGGGGCTGTGAGTGAGGGCGAGGGAGGTGGAGCAGGGCGAGATGGGCGAGGAGGGCGAGGAGAGGAGTGCCTCGAACGACAAGGAGGAGGCTTGAGATGATGAGGCTGATGCAATCGTAAAGCGATGATGCTGCTGCTGCTGCTGCTGCTGCTGCTGCTGATGATGATGATGATGATGATGATGATGATGATGATGATGATGATTATTGGTTTTAGTATGGTCGTGATGATGCTGGGAATGACGATGACGACGATGGTGTTGATGATGGTTATGATGATGCTGATGATGATGGTGACGATGTTGATGATGCTAATGATGATGCTGCTGATGACGAAGGTGCTGCTGATGATGATGGCGATCGCGACGATGATGACGGTGATGATGATGATGATGCTGATGATGATGATGATGATGATGATGATGATGATGTTGAGTAGTATGATGATATTGATGATGATGGTGTTGATGCTGTTGATGCTGATGATGCTGATGAGGATGCGATTGACGACGGCGACGATGATGGCGAAAATGATGATGCTGATGATGATGATGATGATGATGATGATGATGCAGGCGATGATGATAATGATGATGATGATGCTGATGATGCTGGTACTGATGAAGATGCTGATGGTGATGATCATGATGACGACGATGGTGATGCTCATGATGATGATGTTGATGATGCTGATGAGGATGATGATGATGATGAGGTTGGTTTTATGGGGGGTTGTGATCGTGATGATGATGGTGATGACGACGATGATGATGATGATCATGCTCATGATGCAGATGTTGATGTTGATGATGATGTTGATGCTAATGGTGATGATGGTGATGCTGATGAGGATGATGATGATGATGACGATGATGGTGATGCTGATGATGTTGATGTTGGTGATGGTGATACTTGCGATGCTGATGGTGGTGATGATGATGGCGATGATTAAGACGATGGTGATGATGGACAGTACTAAAATGATGACGATACTGATGATGATGCTGCTGATGATGGTGATGCTGATGATGATTTTGATCATGATGAGTACGAGTATGAGCATGATGATGATGCTGCTGCTGATGGTGATGATGGTGATGATGGCGAGGAGGAGGAGAAGGAGGAGGAGGCTAGGAACGTGGAGACAGACATGAAGGTTAGGAAGGATGTGGTGGATGAGGAGGAGGAGGAGCAGGAGGAGGAGCAGGAGGAGGAGGAGGCGACGGAAGGGAATAATGATGAGGAAGAGGAGGAGGAGGAGGAGGAGGAGGAGGAGGAGGAGGAATCATCATCTTCAGGGGAGAAGTAGGAGGTCGGGGACGAAAGAGTAGGAGGAGGAGGAGGAGGAGGAGTAGGAGGAGGAGGAGGAGGACCAGACTGGACGCGTCCAAGAAGAGGCGCGACTTCCCCGGAGCCCCCTCGCACGTGACCGGAGGCTGCAGCCAGATGGCTCAGGAAGGCCGCGGACCAGCGGGACCCCGAGGGGGCGTACGTGCTCGGCCAAGCGTCACCCCAGAGGGGGGCAGGAGGAGGAGGAGGAGGAGGCAGAGGAGGAGGAAGAGGAGGAAGAGGAGAAGGAGGAGGAAAAGGAGGAGGAGGAGGAGGAGGAGGAGGAGGACGACGGGAGGACGGATCCGAGGAAGAGGGATGGTGACGACGACGATGATGGCGGGGCGGTGGTGATGGTTGTGGCAGCGATGTTGGTGGCGATGGTGATGGTGATGCTGGGGTTGTCGGTGAGGAGGCGGGGGAGGGCACGGGCTCGGGAAATGGGGAGGGGTGGCGAGGGGGAAAATGGGGAGGGGAAGGGAGGGGCCGAGGGGAGGGGAGTGGGAGGGAGGAGAGACGACGGGGAGGGTGGAGGCGGAGCCAGAGGGAAGGGACAGGGAGAGTGAGGAGGAGGAGGAGGAGGAGGAGAGGAGGAGGAGGAGGAGAGGGAGGTTGGAGGAAGGTTGAAGTGGTGAGGAGGGGAGGAGAGGAGGAGCGAGGAGGAGGATGAGGGGAGGAGGAGGATAGAAGGCAGGACGGGGAGGGGAGGCCCGCGGGCGCGCCGCGGAGGGCGGGCTCAGGGGCCTCTGGCCGTCTCGCTGAGGTGCTCGGGTGCATGCTGCGCTCGGGGGAGGGCATCAAGAAGGACGGGCGGGAGGGGGGGAGGGGTACAGTCGGGGCCCTGAGGAAGGAGCCCTTTTCGTTGGGGAGGGGCTCGGTGTTCCTTAGTTCTTTTGCAGTTCGCCTTTGGTTTTGCTTAGGGTTTCGATGGGAAATCGAAGCTCAACCTGTGGGAAAAAGGGGCCTCGTTCCTTATTTAGGGTTCCTTAGGTCAGCGCCCCGACTGTAGGAAGGAGGGGGAGGCGATGGCACTTGTCGCTCGCCTGGGGAGCGTGTTGCCCCCGGGTCGCGTTCGATTCCCCCCGTGGCGGTTCCCAGTGGCTGCGTTGAGCGTGGTGCCGAGGGGGAAGGGGGCAAGAACCACAACCACAACACCAACAACAACAGAAGTAAGACCAAACACAATCATTTTTAAATGCGTTCGCTCTTACCTGCTCGCGTGCCATTCAACACGTATATTTCAAACCCTCGGTGCCCGCCCTCTTCGTCTTCGATCGTACCCCCTGGGGGTATATCTTCCTTACGGCGCGCGTACTTGGTGCAGCAGCCCATGAAGCAGGAAGAGAGGACGGATGGACAGGGGAGGGGGAAGGATGGAGCACGGATTACGTAGCAGGAGGGGGCTAGGAGCAGAAAGCACGTGACAGAGCCAGACGGCCCATCGGGCGGGTTAGCCCTTAATGGGCGTGTCGGGAAGGCGGGCCCAAGCGGTGGGTGTGGGTCTAGGCTTCCTAGATAGGGGTCCGAGTAGATGGGGTCGGAGGATCGCGCCGCATCGCCGATGCATCGCCGATGTGGAGCCCGATGTTCTGCGCGCTGGCGTCGCCGATACACCGCCGACGTCGCCGATGCATCGCCGATGCATCGGCGATGCATCGGCGATGCGGCTTGATCCCCCGACCCCACCTACTCGGACCCCATTTGGGAGGCCTACAGTGGGGGGGGGCTTCGGGATCGCCTGTATATATGTATGTGTAAATCTCTCTCTCTCTCTCTCTATATATACATATATACATGTACATATATATATATATATATACACATGTCATTCTAAGTATATACCGCCCCCCCCCGGCCCCGGATCCCACACCTCTCCGCGACATCTCGGGAACGCTCCCGGTACCGCTCCCCCGGCCTTTCCGGGGAGCCTCCACAGCGCTCCAGGAGGGCCCAAGACGCCTCCCAGGAGCCCCCAGAATGCGAAAGGATGGCCCAAGACACTCCCAAGCAGCTCAAGTCAGCCTTCCGACGGCTCTCGAGGCTCCCAGGTGGCCTCCAAGAAACCCCAAGAGAGCTCCGAGAGGCGTCCCGGGACGGCCAGAAGAGGCCAAAATCGTGCATGCTCATGTGTTTTTCCATGTTTTTGGCTTCTCGCGTTTTCGAGCTTCCAACGGTCCAAGAGCGCCGAAGAGGCTCCCAAGACCGCCCCAAAACCACCCAAGAGACCCTCAGAACGGCCCCGAAACAGACCAAGAAGGCTCCAAGACTGCCGAAGAGGCGCCCAGGACAGCCCCAGACCACCCCAGAACAGGCCCAAGATGGGCTTAAGAGCGGGAGCAGGAGGCTTCCAGAGACCTCCCAGAGGCCTCCGGGACCACCCAGAGGCGCCCAACACCCCCGATCCCTGAGAGGCCCCAAGAAGACCCCGCTCCAAGAACAGCCCAAGAAGCTGCGAGAGCCGTCCCGAGAGAGCCCAAAGAGGGTCAAATCGTTGATTTCCAATGTTTTTTTCACTGACTTTCGCCTTCTTACGCTTTTCCGCTTCGAACACTGAAAGGTCGAGGATTTTGAAAGGAAAAACAGGAGATCCAAGAACTCTGTTACATTTTTAAAGTGAAGCTCCCACTCGGAGATCCCACACATCCCTTGACATCTGGCTGGTGCCGCGCCTCCCAGCTTCCAGGTGGCCCCCAAGACGCCCAAGGACTACCCAAGACGACTCCAAGGAGCCCCCAGAACGTGAAGAACGGCCCAACACGCTCTCGCGCAGCCGGAGACACCCTTCCGACGGCTCTCCAGGCCTCCAGGAGGCCTCCAGAACGCGCGCACCAACGCCTCATTCAACATTATACAGCATACAACCGGGCAGACAACACATACAAAAAACGCACGCAGCATACACTTTAGCAAAACATTGTTGTTTTGTTGTTGCTGTCCGTTTCAAAAAAAAAGCACCAATGTTTTGCCAAATTCTCGGAGCCATGCGCAACAAGCGCTGCAACAACCTTGCGACAAGCAGCTTCGAGGGAATCCCGCGGCCAGCGAAGTCGCAGGCTGGCGCTGCAGGAAGCGCCGCCTCAAACAAACGGCAATGAAACGCTGCGGCGTGCACTAAGCGCGCGGCAATCGCCGCGACAACCGGCGCACCAAGCAACATTTGAGCAGACGAGGGGGGCGCAGCAAAAAAACAACAATAATACATCAGAGAAACCAGACGCCGAAACAAGCATGGCGGCAAAACCGACACCAATGTTGCACCAATGATTTGGTTTCCTGCCTGTAGCAGGCAGGCCCGTCGTCACCCAGGGAGTCTGGAAGATCCCAGACCCCTGAAGGGCCCGGCCAACAAAACCCGCGAGGCGCAAACAAAAAACAGCGCCGAACAGCGCCGAGGAACTGGAAAAAAGTGGAAATCCCACAATTCCTTTTTTTGCCCCAGTTTGGCCCCCGGTCTACTCTTGCACACCAGACCACAATTCAGACCCCCCTCACCTCCCAAAAAAGAACCCAGGAAGCCTATGATGGCCCCAAATCGTTGAACATTTAATTTGAATTAACGATTTCTGCGTTTCCGCACTTCCCCTTCTATGCGATTCCGAGGCTTGCGCAGGGCCTCCACGGGAGCCCTTGCACGCAAGAAACAACCAACATGACATTACATGAGTTAGCCTATCAAGTTCTAGTATACATTAACATGTATATATATATACACATATATATATATATGTACATACGGTCACCCCCTGGGCCCCGGCTTCCACCTCCGGGACATTCGCGGACAATCCCCCTCACCGTCCCCCGGAGGTTCCCAGGGAAGCCCCAAAACGCCCCAGGACGGCCCAAGACGCCCCCAAAGAGCCCCCAGAACGCGACAAAAGTAGCCCAAGAAAGCCTTCCGACTTCCAGGCTCCCAGGATCGCCGAAGAGTTAACCAAAAGGCCTCCGAGGCCCCAAGAGACCTCCGAGAGGCGTCCTTCCGTAGCCATGTTGGCCCAAGGCCAGCCTCGGGTTCGGGAGCGTCCCGGCCAACGGCGGCGTGCCGAGCAGTAGGGGGCGCCG